TATATATATATGTGTGTGTGTGTGTGTATATATATGTATATGGCCATCAAAATAAATTTTTCTTGATAGATAAACAGATCATAAAGTCTTGAGCTAGGGAGGTAGCTCAGTGGCAGAATGTTTGCCTAGCATGCAAGAGGTCCTGAATTCCAGCCCCAGCATCAAACTCTGGAAGCGGGGCATGGTGGTACACGCCTGTCATCTCAGCACTCAGGAGGCTGAGGCAAAAGAATTACTCTGAGTTTGAAGGCAGCCTGGGGCACATAGTGAGTTCAAAGCCAGCCTGAACTGCATAGCAAGACCCTGTCTCAAAACAAAACAAAACAAACCCAAAGTCTGGAGGATATGATATATACCAAGCTGTTTGTACTAGTTAGCTTGTGGGACTACGGGAAGGGAAAAGTTAGAAATGTTTCTCACTTTTGGTTTTCATATAATTACGTATTATTTGAATGTTTTATAATAAGCATATATTACCAGTATTAAAAATGTACCTTAGGTACAGCCAAAGCACCCAAAGAAATAAACAACCGTGAGAGTACTGCAATTATAAATCTAAACATAATATCACAACAGAGGTTACAAACAGCAAAACCCCACAAGAAGTGAAAACTTAAATGTGAGTTTGAATTGGCAGGAAAGATTTTTATCTAGCCAGGAACTGATGATAAATTTTAGGAAATGAAGAAAATCCTAGGTAAATAAAGAAGTTCTTACATAAACCATAATGAAAAACTAGTAACACTTTAAATAAAACTAGTACAAAAGATGACAGACGAATGAAGGCATAGGAAAAGAAATATCAATGCTCTGTCTATAAAAACATCTCTTGCTTAGCAGATGGACACTGCAAATAAGAACAATATCTAGTTTGAATGGTAAAATAAATTTTGAAAGAGTAATCTTATATACATACATTCATCTCAAGAAAGGAAGCAGCAATTATAACCAAAAAAATGGAAAATAATATAAATGTCCAATAGTTAGAGAAGGATTAAGAAGGGTAGAACTACCTGATATTATGCAGCTAATAAAACTTATCTGTAAACAAATTCAGTAGTGCACGCTGTAGTCCCAGCACTCTAAGAGGCTGAGGCAGGAGAATCACAAATTCAAGCCCACCCTGCGCAACTTAGTAATTTAGGAAGACCCTGTCTAAAAAAAAAAAAAAGAAAATTTAAAAAAAGAGTCTGTAAAACCAGTATTAAAAACAGTAAAGGTAGTGGAGCACCGCAGTTACTAGAGAGGCTGAGGCAGAAGAATTATAAATTTGAGGCCAGCCTTAGCAACTTACTTGAGACCCTGTCTCAAAATTATACAATGAAAGTACTAGGCATGTAGCTCAGTTATAGGTACTTGCCTAGCATGTGTGAGGCTCTGGATTCAATCCCAAATACTGGGAGGGGAGTACATTAAATTTATAAATTTAAGTTAAGGGTGGGGATATAGCTCAGCAGCACAGCACCTGCCTGGCAAGTACAAGGTTGT